ATCCCACCTTAAGAGAGGGGACCCCCTAACACCCCCTGCCTCCCCATTCTGGTGGGTCACACATAACTGGGAAAAGATGGTCCTTCCAATAACAGGGAGGGAACCACCAGAGAGAAGGCCCTTCCTATTGGTCCCACCAGATGGACCCCCTTAAGAGAGGGGACCCCCAACACCCCCTGCCTCCCCATTCTGGTGGGTCACATGGATGTAATTGGGAAAAGCTGGTCCTTCAAATAACAGGGAGGGAGCCACCACGGAGAAGGCCCTTCTCCTAGGTCCCATAGATGGACGTCCTTAAGAGAGGGGACGGTTCTCCGAGCCTTTCTGGCAGGTGTAAGTATTTCAAAACGGGGGGGGGGGCGGGTGTGGTGTCCCTCCCACCTGCACCCTCCATCCCTCCCTGCCTCCCCTCCTTCCCGGCACCCTCACCGTGCAGCGGGGACACAACCACTCTCCGTTGGGGATCTCCGGCAGTGGCGGGTTGAGGCAGTGGATGTGGTACGAAGAGATGCAGGCGTCGCAACACAGCAGCTCTCCGCCGTCCTTACAGACCCGGCAGTACTCCATGTGGTCGTCCTCCTCCTCCTTCTCCCCGTCGTCCAGCTCCCCCTCGTACTCGTCCTCCTCCTCCTTCGGCTCCCACTGCACCCCTTCTTTCTCCTGTAAGCCGGGGAGACCACACACACACACACACACACACAAGCACACCAGAGAAAGGAGAGCTGGGTTACCGAAATAGGGGTCAACACAGAGCTGGGGGGGGGGTTTCAAAGAGGAAGCAAAGGGACAGCAAAACCACACGCAAGAGCTTTAAATGGGGGGGCTAAGCACTAGTGTGTGGGGGGGTCTGGTATCGCTGGCTAGAATGTCGGACTCGGTAACGAGATCGAGACACGGATATTTGGCTCCTGGGTCTTCTAAACATCCCCAGCGTGAGTGGTCCTCCACTTCCGGCTGCAATTCGGTCTAAAATTCCCATCAAGAGAGTTTTGGGTCCGTTTTACGACCTTTCTCTGCCATCGTCGTTAAGCTGAGCCACGGCCACGGGTTAAGTTTGTAACCCGGTTATTAAGCAAAGCCGGCTTCCTGCATTGACTTGGCTTGTCGGAAGGCCGCCGAAGGGGAGGATCACGTGACACCCACCCCTTACAGGACGCTGCAACTGTCCTAAGTACCAGTCAGTTGCCAAGCGTCTGAATTTTGATCACGTGATGCTGCAGCGGTCGTTGAGTGTGGAAAAAAGGGTCTTAAGTCTCCTTTTTCAGGGCTGTCGTAACCTCCAAGTCGCTAAACGGGTGGCTGTAAGTGGAGGATCACCTGTGCTGTTCTAGAGAGCTGTGTCTTAAGACTTTGGAGTGCAGGAGTAGAACAGGACTGACAGAGTCGAACGGGACCTCGGAGGTCTTCTAGTCCAGCCCCCTGCTAGGAGGGTTAACCCAAAGGTGGCCCAAGTCCTTCTTTCAACCTGCCTCCAGAAGCGGTGAATGCTCCAACACTGAAAGTTTTGAAGAAGAGACTGGACAGCCATTTGTCCGAAATGGTACTACAGGGTTTCCTGCCTAAGCAGGGGGTTGGACTAGATGACCTCCAAGGTCCCTTCCGAATCTTATTCTTCCTTCCTTCCTTCCTTCCTTCCTTCCTCC